ATTGCTAGTATCTTCAACTATGTGTAATATATGGTACTAATCCACACTTAAATTAATATTCTTTTTTTGTAGACGAATGCAGTTTATGACGCATCGTGCAATTCTTCTCATTCGCCTGCCCAGAATGAAAATAATATACCATTTACGGATATTCCTGCACAGTCATGCTTTACTGCGTCACCTGATAAGATATCTGTCTTATCGCAAGATAAATTGGAAAATGTCAGACCTCAAAGTCCTCTGCACATACCATCAGACATTGCAAATGTCTATCTTCCTAATAAGTATACTCCCCCAAAACACAGGGGTTTGCCAACTATTTTCGAGAATTCAGTTAAAAAAAATCAACGCTACCATAAGTTATGCAGAAACACTGAACGTTCCCCTTAAGAAGGCAGATATTTACAGGACTAACACTCGAAGAAGCATGCAACCCTACAGGTCTAATTGTTATTTAACTCCTTTAATGCAAATCTACTACTGGCTGAAAAATCCCAAATAGGACGGACGGCACTTCACTTAAATTCGCGAGTCTCGATAAAGATAGGTGACAGATCACCAACCTAATCCATAACAAAACATATCATACATATGAAACATTAAACTGAAGAAAAGCACTGAAATGTTTAAGGCGATATCTGTTGGCAATTCTATGTCCAAGGTAGGATAATAATATAATGATTTGTGAATGCTGATGTAATCATACCTTTGATGTATGGGTAAATTAATGAATCCTACATAGCCATCTTCCACTCAATGGGATATTTAAATACCATGGCTATAAACCTCATAAGTTTGTCTGAACAAAGATTCTTCTTCTTAAGAAATACTATTCATGTCCTTAAAAATTATGAGTTGTTGTCGTAATATTATTAGATAGACATGTGACGAATAAATTTTCTGACATTTATATGACTACGTAAGCAAAATCAAATTGGTTTCAAGTGGTAAAGTGACCAGATAAATAGTATTTACTAGTTCATACAGTATGGGGATTGGAAATAGGTAAGCAGTGTGGCGTGTGCTACTGACAGGATTTATAAGTAGTACATAGATGCATACTTGAATGTGTGTGTCATCTGCAAGAATTTCGACTAGCAGAGAGATGGATTTAAGGAATGATGCTTGTGAAACAACATGGAAAACATGAAACGAAGACAAAGACGCACACTATGGAACATATATACAAATTGTGATTCTAATACATACGTATTTTGCCTATAATTGTGTATCGACTTGCCAATAAATAATTCCGTTATTAAATTCCCTTGTCTTCTGTCGTTACCGTACAACACAGACAATTGTTGGTACGGTTCATGTACATCAGTCTACAGGAGCGAGTGAATACGTGTCCAAGTTGTCAACAGTGAGATCTTGTCTTTGACGTCTTGATTAGTAACAGGATTTGTGGAAGAGATACAAATAACGTTCTCCGATTTAACCGAGCGCTGTGCTTAGCCAATGTGCAAAAAGTAAAAAAAATGGCACATGTTGAAAAAAGGCTCATTATCAGAAAGTTCGAATTCAGGCAGGTGCACATTTCGAGACAAGATTTCACCACAGTTCGTTTAGGATATCTAAATTATTCTGACCACACATGGTGACCTAAATTAAACCATAAGTGGCAATCAAATACTCGCCGATGTCATTGGCTGGCGCTATATATCTCAAATTGACAGAGGTCCATCATTCACCTTTATACCGACTATCGCATACTCCGAGAAGACGAACATTCAGTTGCAGTGTGAGTCAACTACAATAGTGAATAATGCTTTGAGTTACTACAGCTGTCACGTGGTTATTTTTTCTCAGATTGTGAAGTTACTTCTCAATGACTTAAATCAAAACTTGCTAAGATATGCCTGAAATGTTTTCTTTTTGTTAACAATTAAATGGTAAATACACAAACAATTGGGAATGAGTCACCTAATGTCTTCTTACAACACGCATTACAAGGGATGAAAATATTGGAGTAATTTCTTTGCACTAGAAAAACGACAGTTAGTATTTGGTCACTACTCTTATTGCCTGTATGAAATAAGGATTAGAAGCAATACTTTAGGAAATTTCTGTTGTATTTTACTGATTAGTAATACCCAACTTCTAAGATTAAAAGTTAATACAATTTCGACACTTTCTTAGTTGACTTTATCAAAATAAGTAAGAAATATCCACAAATTGTAATTCACAGAAAATTATTGACTGGACTGAAACCTGAGTAGGGAAGTGAACAGAGCTATTTATAAGAATGCCTACATTATGAAAAGCTGAACGAAGATCGTTGCAATCAAAACGTTCGTAGAGCCAAAAATGTATAAACAAATTAAGATATCTACCACTTGATGAATAGAAGGAAATTACGCTAGCAAAACGACATGAGTGGAGCTCATAGTAATGCCGAGTAGGGAACAAAGAGAACAATTAATTATGAAATATATTCACAAAAAGCACTACTAAAAAGGAAAAAAATTACCATATTAGGAAAAGATTGGCAACACAAACCAGTAAAACGAGAAATCTAAGTTGAACTGCACATTAACTCATGCCATTAACTTCAATGCTCAAGGTATTTATATCAATACCTAGACAACTTTACCATATGCTGATCAAACATTCATAAAAATTCTGCAGTTTTCAATTATGGGGTCAGTACTTTCCTGTTATGTTGAAGTATTTGGTCCTCATATTCTCATACTGCAACTACTTCAATTCATTATCAGTTTCTTTAAAACAGAAAATCAACTAATATCATTTTATCATGATCCGATTGTTGTTTCACCTTAACATAATTAAAAAAGCAGACGTATAATGTAAGCAAGACCAGATCTTTTAAATGACAATGTTTAACAACGACAAGTCACTATGTAACTTTAAGAAAGTCACTTAAGCTTTACTGCGAACAATTGCAGATATTTTCTCAATTTTCAAATGTCCAAACAACCCTTATGTTATTTGGATCTTTTCGCGTAGATTCTAATGTTCAGTTTTGGAAGAGGGAGATTGCTCAACAACCACTTGCATTTAATTACACACGTTCATTAGTTACATCCAAGGGTTGGTTCTGTTCGAGTTCACACACCAGTGGCTGAAATCCAAGCACCTTAATCAATTAGCCGTAGGTCTAAACGGCAAAAGTGAGAAGCAAATATTTCGGTTAAAACAAGGTTTAGTTTACTGTATCAATCAAGTGTTTACTGTACAATAGGAAGTTAAAAACAGTTAAAGTTAATGGTACATAAATATAAAATCTTTCCACAAACAGTAAAATGCCATAGATGTTCAGGAACAAAGCGGTAAATATACATTTAAAAAACCTAATACAATATATTTTATTGAAAGACGCAGTAGGGAGTGAAACAGACTCTTACACAGAGGAGTCTACGAAAGTTTTCTCCACTCAATCAGAAGTCGAACTACTTTGAGAAGAATTTAAAGCTGATTCTAAAACGAATTTGCTGAAGCTTTTCTCAGTTTTTTTGGATATGGTAATGCCTTTAAATCCTAACTTCTTGGCAAGCTTTCGGCGCTTTGCGATACGCTTGCGTGTTGTTGATAAGACAAGATCTGGATCCAGAGGGGCGACGCCGGGACCTGTAGGGTTGCATGCTTCTTCGAGTGTTAGTCCTGTAAATATCTGCCTTCTTAAGGGGGAACGTTCAGTGTTTCTGCATAACTTATGGTAGCGTTGATTTTTTTCAACTGAATTTTCGAAAATAGTTGGCAAACCCCTGTGTTTTGGGGGAGTATACTTATTAGGAAGATAGACATTTGCAATGTCTGATGGTATGTGCAGAGGACTTTGAGGTCTGACATTTTCCAATTTATCTTGCGATAAGACAGATATCTTATCAGGTGACGCAGTAAAGCATGACTGTGCAGAAATATCCGTAAATGGTATATTATTTTCATTCTGGGCAGGCGAATGAGAAGAATTGCACGATGCGTCATAAACTGCATTCGTCTACAAAAAAAGAATATTAATTTAAGTGTGGATTAGTACCATATATTACACATAGTTGAAGATACTAGCAATGTAAAGCATACTCTGATGTACCTAGCTAATAGCTATTCAGTTTGTACGTCCTATTAATTCGAGAACCAAGACGACGAAAATAGTGGCTTTTGAAATACAATATGATACATCAACAAAATTCAATCTACAAGAGGTGCACGCCGAGCATATCTTAGAGCAAGACAATGAACTTCAAATGGGCATGTGCTCGAACCGTCACACAGACTAACGGAAAACCAACTTAAATGTGCACTATAGATTTGTACGACTGATGAACAAGGAGAGATGAGGAGAAAGGGGCTATTTATATCAATGACAACTAAATCAAAATGCTTGGTTCTCACACAAGGCGACTGGGTACTCAAAGTGGACAGAAGTGAGCGATTTCGCGAAAGCTAGCGACGGTTAACGAATGGAATAACTATTTGAAATCGGATATCTATATATATCAGAACTGATATACGTAAATTAACAGACATGTAATTCATCTATGCAATCAAAGACAGTGCATACGTTAAAATGATAACATGGTGGTCCATTTTATCACATGACCTATACCGCATTACTTTCAATATTTTGATTTATCGTTGAAAAGGACTACCAGTTGTTACATCTTAAAACAGAAGCACTGAAAAATTCGCACATAGAAAACGTGACGAATAATCGTAGTAGACTTTGATATAGCTAACAAATCCATCAGCCAACTGTGAACAATGCCAACACAGACTACATTCGAATGAGAAACAAGACCAATAAGGTTGTGTGTTATGGATATCCAATACGGTGAATCCGATAAATAAATACCTTGTCTTTTTACTGAAGTTTCAGTTTGGGAAATCTGAAATGAAGCAGTATTGAGAACAAAGATTACTAAATAGTGATAACATAAACACAGACCGTTAGTAGCACAGAGGCAGAATGCTCTCCGACCACTGATGTGCATCGGGTTTCAAACCCAACCGACATACACCTTTAACACGATAAGCCATTATTACAACTGCTAAGGAGTTAGGATTCGACATAAGAATGGTAAACCTAATACTCAGAAAATAACAGCTGCGACATAAACTAGTCTCCCCACCAATCTTCTGGGAGTCAGCCAAGGCTACATTAGTCGAGTGGCGGGACGAACTGCGAAGGAGCTTCCTGAGGACCGCGAAAGTTTGCTTCACTACCAAAAAGCGAACACAAAGAAGTCAAATTGGCTTACAATAGCTCGTAAAGATCGATTTTGGGCATTGGATATTGGTCTGGCGGTTAATGCAAGTGAGGGAGCAATGTGGTGCATTAGGTAAGAGTAAGTGTGACACCTTGAACCCCCTTGACTTATGCGCATGTATGATTTATTGAGTAGGGAAAATAAGATTTCAGATCCAGGAATCATCAGAGATTTTCTCTGAGGGAATATCTTATGACTTTTTGAATGGTGTCACACACGATAGTAGCTCTAAACTGTTAGAAGTATGCATTCTGTGTAAGGGAGAGCTCCATGGACACTGGAGCGTTCAAAATGCAATTAACGACATATTTGTAAGCAAGACGAAGCATAAGAAGGCTTGACGTAAATGCCTGTGAAGTTAAAGTCGTCTGTACCATTGGTTGCAGAAAAGCTGATTCTTGGTATGGATCGTGTCAGTGGCAATTTCGTACTTTATCTTCCTTTCCAGGCATTTATCTTCAACAAGAGCTTAAAAATTAAACATCTAAGACTTGTATGTAATTTCCATTCAAAGTCTTCAGTATTCCCACGTGCTGTCGTCTTATATTGGTGTGCTGACTTATTTTCATTCTTGCACACCCAAAGTAATTTGACGTTGAACATGTGTTTAGTATTAAACCCTTGCCATTCTGCTGGGGACCCCATCCTGTAAAAATAAACGCTGCTACAGAAACTTCAAGCCTCAAGCTTGAGGCCCTATGTTCCACTGGGACTGTGAAGGAATGAAAAAAATAAACATAGGCGACTTATTCAACGTAGCAGACGCACTTACATGAGTTTGCGGATTAATCACTGACTTTCGACTATATCTTTTAGATGGGTGTGTTTGTTCACCATGGGACGCTGCAGATATGGATTTGCGGCGTAATCTCAAGGACCTTCTGAGAGTTCCACCCGAGTCGGCACTTTCTGGTGAGGAATCAATGATGTTTGTTAGGTCTAGAAGACCCATGATAGATTTCCTTCCGCGCTTAGATTCGCTAAGAGGGATAAAAGACAGACAATAATGGGCGTTCATCCTCTTATATTATTGCGGTAACTTATAAAGAATAAACATAGTGAACGCAAGTGCTTAATTAGTTAAATTTAATTGATTAAACACTTGCGTTTGCTTATATATACATGTTATACAACGAACGGACTGAAACTGACCTCATCGGACAAATTGTGACAACTGAAGCTCGGAGGCAGCTTCACCTGAAAAACAGGAAAGCGAACACACTGCCCAACAGCCCACACTAAACCACAAAGGGGGGAACAATCCTGCGAGCAGAGCGAAAGACTATAGCAACGAGAAAAGTTTGTGGAGTACGTAACAAGTTGACTTAGGCGCGAAGACTCAAGGTTCATTGCTTGGCATCATTCGATAAGTGGTCCACTACATTCAGATTGCAAGTATTTTCGATATTGGATAGAAAAATATTGTTATATCGTGGCAAAGTTGATGGATAGTGTTCCAAAGGGACGGACGCACCAGAGACCTTGAAAGTAACAGCCGAAATCAGAGGGTTAATTTAGGTCTTTTATTCAACCCTAACCAGAATATATCACTGAATAACCTTAATCCGGCGTCTACGCCTTTCTCATCTAACTGTGGCTCACATCTTTCCTTAATTTACCACAATCCAGCCTCAAACAATCCTAATATTCCTACAACTTAACCCCAACAATTTCTCAGCTTGACCCTAACTCTGATGTTATCATAAGCATCAACTAACAGCTTCAGTGAGTGACAGACTGATGAGTAAAGTGAATTTTCGGACGGACTAGTTACCGTCACAGCCCTGGTCCTGTTTGTCTTTAAGAATCTGGATGCAAACCAAAGTTTCACACTCTTTGCTTCTGGATTCCATCTGTAGATGCTTATTCATTTGTAAGATGATAGGTTATTTGACTCTGATTATTACCCCTTAAAATGAATGCGATGATATTTTTATCCGATCGAAGCACCGGAGTTGTTGACGGTGAGAATTCTGGTTTCTTAGTGAAACTAATATTTGAATGCAAATTTGTTATGGTGAGTCTTCATGATAAGTGCCTATGATTTAATATTCGCCTTTCGAATTCGTCAAGTGTGTTCATCAGTTTTGCATTAGTGCAGGTTACCAAGGTTGAGCCTGAGTTTTTGGACGGGCTTAGTCTCGAAGTAAGTACAGGGTCCTAGTTTGTAATCGTTCAGTAGACTCGTTTCTAACATTTCATTGTTCCACTTCATCAGAGACTTTTCATTCCTCAGCATTCCAACAAGGTTTTGGACAAACCTTCTTCAAAATTGCTAATTTTGGTGTCACAGATTTTTGTGGGTTGGACTTATTTCCAAGATGCCTGAAGTGTTGCATATAGAACACCAGTCTGAACAGAATGCTTTTCGGTCGCAACAGACAATGCATATATTTACGTGTTCACGATAACTTTGTAGTTCACCTATACTGTGAGCTCTGAGTTCAGTTTTTTGATTTTTTTTAACGTAGGTGTAATAAAATTGTGAGAAATTTATGAAGCATAATCTGTTTGTGATGTCTGTCAATTATTTATAATTGTTGGTTATATAAGTCTGAATTACTTTTAAGATGAAAAATCTGCTTGTTTTGTGTGTGAACCGCTAGGTTTTTAGGGGGCAGTTTTTTATGACCTGTAACAGCATAGCGTTCGTTGATCTGATACTAATCTGGATTTAAAGAAGGACTGGTGTGGATTCTGAATGTTCATTACTTCGTAGATCTATATGACCGCAGTTGGTCTGACAGTGAAAAACTGAGGAACTTGCTAAAATTATCTCCTTGCTGAACTACCTGTTATTCCCTTTCTTGTTTTAACACCCCTGGCGTTCAGATTGCAAATAGTACCGTGTTCTGTATTTGGAGGCAACTTTACTAAACATCTGGCCCGAAAACGCATAACGGAAACTTAAGTTGACGTAAGCTTTTAGGTAAGAATTAGTGGGTAAGAGAAGCTAAGGAAATGGGATGGACATCGTTAACCGGTAGTAGTCAACCACTTCAGTTCATCTAGTTGATCAGCTTTGGAAAAGGTATTCTAAGTGGAATGACCCTTCAATGAGATAATACTTAATTAACTTCCAAAATTGAGACTTCGAACAGAAAGCTGCTAAGGGAAGTTGGACTGGCTAGGTATATGGTACGACGTTCTGCGCTGATAGACCTAGGTCTGTTACTTGTCTGGTTTATGGTATTTATTTTGAGTAGTTCACATGATTGATTGACTCCCGCTACATTATCTTCCCATTTATATCATTTGTGTTATAAATCATAAAAGATTGTTTCTCATGTTTGAACGTAGGTTTTTAATGAATTATATTAATAATAATAATAATGTATATTCTCATATAAACATAAAAATTTACATGAAAATGCATGCCATTTTTACAGGCACGGTCAAGTTTGATATAATATCAAATCGTAGATCGTCTACAAGTTAATAATGTCTCAACCGTTAAATATTTGATATATATATAAATACACATTGTCTGAACTAGGCTGTATAGTTATTGAATTGTACAATTGTCCTCCAGGTTGAGCGGGAAAATCGACTTCGTTTCGTTTTCATCCCGTGGTTGTCGGCATACGATAACCAACCAATATTGAGGTAAGTACAACGTTTACAAGGGATTCAAAGCTGTTTTAGAAAAGTAAAAGTGCTGAGGTGAATCATTAAATTGTAATGAAATAGGTAAGTGCAAGTATCATTAATAAATGCATTAAAAAAAGAAAACTCCCTAGGCTGACAACGTTCATTTGCAATGTATAATGCTACACGTATATCTCGTACTATCATGATGTCCACTTTTGGTTTTAATACATTTATCCTCAGTTGTGCCAGTTGTTTTTGTTTTATACCTTTTTGTGCATTTAATGTACAACCGTACCCTTCAGAGAGTAGGAATATAATAAGTCATAAAGAGCTGTAAAATGTTAGGTTTAATGGAATATAATGAGGATCAAGTAAAGACGTTATTGGAAAATGAATGAGATAAGACATTGTGAAGTGGTACTTAAAGATCCGACAATGGACAGCAAGCTAGTTTATAAGGTGCCCCATAAATCTGTGCAGATCCCGCGTGGTCGCGTCTCAGCAATAGGCTGAGCGAATGGTATATATTTAAAGGTAGAAGCATGATCTGTCAAGGCGTTCATCATTATCTTTTTCAAGATAAAGATCTAAGCCCTCATAAAAATCAGAAATATCTCGAGCCTTTAATTTGTATATTTCTGTTCCTGCAGAGTAGGGCGATTCACCTTAGTGACCCCCACCATATCTACTGATCAGCTAACGCCACCCTTCCTCCTTTTTTGATGTTAAGCTCTGAGACTATGATTATTATGGCTACCGCAAATATATTGCTTGGTACCAGACATGTTCGTACCTCATATTCCATCTCCCTAGCTTTCTTAATGAGTGCTTCGTATAGGTCTCCACGCACATCTTTATGAACATTATATATGTATGCATGCATCCTAATGAACAGATTACTTTTCAAGATGTTAAAACCTTAAAGAATAAAAAGATTAGGTTTTGTGAATAGTGAAGCAAGATTCAGCAGAACAATATAGTTAGGGATCAATATAGGTAGTATGAACTGAAGGTAAGGTCGGTTGGCAGGACTTAGTGTACTAAATTATCATGACAGTCTTATATATAGTCAACATTTGACATTGCAAAGTAACCTGTCTACATGTACTATAAAAAGATATTAACAGAACCAACAAAATTTCAGCATTTGTTTAACAATACTACAGAAGGGTAGTTAGTACTACAGGTAGTCGTGAAGTAAATCAATCTATGTATAATAAGAGCATAGTCAGTGTCATAATTCGTATTATCAAAGAATACATTAGGCTCAATAACTGAGTGTTATAAGGGAAATAAGAGCGGTAAACCAAGAGAACATTTGCCGCATAAGTATTTTAACCATTTTAGGTATTTTAATGACAATCTAATTTCAAGTATTGAACCTACATAATTATTAAGTATTATTATGTTAGTCTGGGAACTAGTGTACTTTCTGTAGTTAAATATTGAAATGCCATTGTCTCTCCACTCTACCAGCAGTTGAGATCTTTGAGGCGGGCTAGGGTGGACATGTTTATATGTTTTTCTAGGCTCCTTTTGAAACTGTCAGGCCTTTCACAGGATCTTATCTCAGAGGGTAGTTGGTTCCAAAGTTTGCAATATTTAATAGTGAAGAAGTTAGCTCTAGTGGTGAGTTTATGGGTGTTAACCTTGAGAAGGTAGTTGTGGTTGCGTAGTCCATACGATTTAGGATTAGCCCAGGTTATGGACGAGTTACTGTTACAGTGCTTTCTTATAACTTTGAATAAGAGAAATAAACTGCACTTCACTCTCCTTAACCATAAGGGCTCTAAGTCCAGTCGAATACATCTGTCAAGGTATTCTATTTGCTGACCATAGCCTAATATGCGTTTCGTGAGGAATCTTTGTACACTTTCAACTTTTTTTCTGTCTGCTGATTTAAAGCTACTGTATAAGTGGGCACAGTATTCAAGTTTGGGGCGAATGCATATCTTATATATGGCTAATCTGGCTTCTGGAGTGTAAAAGTTGCGTAGCACAAAGCCGGTTAGACGTTTACAATCAGATACCACCTTATTTGCATGTTCAGTAAAGGTAAGATCTGAGTATGTTATCCCGAGATCTGTGACTGTGTTCGTGTTTGAGACAAAGTCACCGTACTAATACTCCCGGCCCAGATGGAATGTCTTCCGTCCTCTTAAAAAATGGTGGAAATGACATGAATCTACTTCTTCTCAAGATATTTTCAACTTCGATAAGGAGTGGAACATATCCAAATAGCTGGAAGAAATCCTACGTTGTACCCATTCACAAAACCGGACCTACAGCGGACATAGATAATTACCGCCCCATCAACATTACTTCCGTAGTTTCACGTGTGATGGAAAAGATTGTAAAGAAGCAAATTGTTCAGTATTTGCTCTCGAATGACTTAATATCCCCTTTCCAATACGGTTTCCTAAATAGAAGATCGTGCATTACGTGCCAGTTAGATTATTTCGACCACATTACTGAATGTGTAGACAAAGGTCGTTCGGCAGCAACATTATTTCTAGATGTTAGGAAAGCTTTTGATAAAGTCCCACATAACAGACTCATACTGAAA